TTACCTACATTCTTGGCTTTTTTCCTGGGTTCCCTGAACCATCTGCTTCATCCCTGGGGGGAAAGAAACATCATTCCTGGGCTGAGCATCACGCTGACCATCCCGTCTCCAGTTGTTGGGTTTCCTGACCGGCTTCAGGATGCCTACAGCGTTCGGGTCTTTATTCACATAATTGTCCAGATGACCCCGCTGGATCAATTCTTCAATTGCGATCTGTAATGCTCGACAGAAATGGGTGGGGTGACCCTTCCTCTTATGGTATTTACAGAAGAAATTCTCATCTGCCCCCATGTAGCCTTTGGTATCAGTCGGAAGGGGAATATTGTCCTTCTCGTTCTGGTAAATGGTTGCAACAGACAGGACCAGAGGGGTGAATCGTCCTGGTTTCGGAGGAGGAGCGGCCACTGGAATAGGACCCAGCCGATCGGCCAATCTTGTGGGGGCAGGGGGTGTAGCTACCTTATCCCTGATCATGATTTCCTCCTCCAGAGCTGCATGCTTTCGCGATCTGTCCAGCACTTCGGAATACACAGTGCCCGGATTCTTTTTCAAGTCTTTATACAGTTCACCCATTCGGAGAGCGCTAGTAAATAGGGTGATGGCTGTATCATCTGTCATGTTTCCAACTTTTAGGGTTTCATCTCTCCATATTTTCAGATATTGATTTAGGGTCTCCTTTGGCCCCTGCTTAACACTAGTCAGGTAGCTGAAATGCCGCTTTGGAGTGGCACTGGAGGCAAAGTGGGCCAGAAATAAGGAAGATAATTCGGCAAAGCTGCCGATCGATCCTGGCTGCAAGGTCCCGAACCATTTCTGGGCAGGTCCCCCGAGTGTGCTGAAGAAAATCCGGCAAATGGCCGCCTCTGTTGCTCCCAACAGCATGAGTCCCCTTTGGTAACTTCTTAAATGCACATGGGGATCTCCTGCCCCGTCATATATCTGACCGGTCAATGGTTTGGCATCCCTGTGGATTTCGGCATCCATTACTTCCCAGGTGAAGGGGGAAGTGATCCCGACTCACACCGGGGTAGGTTGTAGAGGTGCCCTGTTCATCTGGTCCCTCATTTCATTCATCTGCCTCCTCATTTCGACCATCTCTTCCTCCTGAGCTGTTAGGGGAGGCGGTGGTGGAGTTCCCAAATTGACAAATTCCTGAGTTCCTTCCGGTGGGGTTGTTCTCTGATTCTGACGTCCCTGTCTGAATCGGGTGTTATCACATTCTCCGTAATGGAAATGGCGCCCAACCGGCGTATCTCCTCTGGCTCGAGACCCGGTCGGGGTGTGGTCACTGGGAGTGTGCTGCCTGCCCCTAGACGTGTGAGTCCTTCAGTGACCTTCTCGATGAGCTCGTGAATGGTTCGAAACCGTGGTGGTTTCTGCATCGGTGGTCTCCTCATCAAATGATTGCATCGATCGGAGTGGGGATGGGGTCGTGTACCTGGTTTCCCAAGTATAGCTGGATCGCCCCCCATCTTGCTCATCCGCCAGGTGCTGCATGACCTGAGTTAGATCCAGCATGGCGTGGGGGTTCCTCCTCAGTGCGTCAGGGATGAAGAAATCCCCATCGAAATGTTGGTACGACCCCCGACTAGACTGCCCTTGGGGGGTCCTGCTCTCCCCGCGTCTCCCAGAACTTCAACCAGTATGATGAGAAGTGATTTTGACTATTTTGAAAATAGGTTGATGTTTTGGATAGTTGATTGGTTTTGAAACTTTTTATTCAAAGTTTCCCACAGACGACGCCAAGTTGAGGTTTAGTCCCGTAGATCCGAAAGCCCAACACATGCTTTGGATATTTCAGGATGTGAATAATAAATCGAGGGTATAACCAAATATAAAAACTGAATAACAATAATCTTAAGAGCCTACTTATATTATGCAATTTGCAGATTACACAGGAAACTTCCCGAACGGTACGTCGGAACAGTGATTAATACAAGAACAAGAGTAATAAAGTTATTCTAGGCTTTGAGTATCAAAATGCTAACCCTTTACAATGAAATTAATCCCTCTATTTATACTAATGGGGGGTATGGGGTGCTCCTTGCTGATTGGTTGCTAATCCAGCCACTTGAATGCTCATCCTCCCACTTGCTGATGTCACACTCTAGCATTTAATGCACTTTGCCATTTGCCAAAAGTCTGTTACCCGATCGGAGTGGTGGGTCACGCTGAAATGTTTGTTGATTTGGCCCAAGTACCTTGGTTGACCTGATCCCCGTTCGGTACATATTTATCTCTCGGCCCGCTCTTCGTCTGGATTTCGGGCTAACTGTTTTGCACTGGATAATCTGGGCCCTTGGCCCGGGTGTTGGGCCTTTTGTCCAATACCCAACACATTCGTTTATATTTTTCTTACTTAACTACAGGATACATTTACACTTAATTTTCACTTTCTTAAACTCCGATCCAAATAACACCACGAAGAGTTTAATGAGAGAGAGAGTATATAATATTTCACGCATGTCACTAACAGTTGAACACTTTAAGAAAAATATGACAAAATTCTTTATAGATTAAAACTAAACGGTCAGAGAAAAAACATGAAATCATTCTTAAAAAAAAATAACTATATGAGAAATAAGTTTGACACATTTTTTTTTAATTTTTTGATGTTATGTTAGTAAATAAATATATAATTCGAATAAGAGACATGTAGTGTATGTATTTAGAATCAATGTAGATTGTGAATGCATGATTATATGTATATATATTAAGTCACTTTAAGTTTGATTAAAACTTTTAAAAAGGAAACAAGGAAGATAATGGATGAAAAACTAAAGTATGGAAGAAAACGGTGGAAAAGGGATTCGAATGCCCAAGCTAAGGTTAAACTTACGCAAGCACCACAGTTTCCGCTACACTACTTCGTACTTTACGTTCAATTCACGCAGTTACATTATAAGATATGTAAATTTAGTACAAAATATATGTATAAATATATTTTCAAATATATATATATATATATATATATATATATATATATATATATATATATATAAGAAACCAGATATTTGATTCATGAAAAAAATAAGGAGAATACATTAGTACATTAAAAGCTAAACAGGAAACCAAACTGAGATAATAAGGTTCCGAAAAGCTGGGTGGCGGTTTGGGCCCGGAAGTGGGGGTTGAGTGGGGGCACATGCCACTGCCCATGCTGGATACGCCACTGCGTACATGCATGTTAAGTGCACGTGTAATTAGTACTCCCTCAGTCCCAAATTGTAAGATACATTTACTATTCACTTGGTCAACATAAATCACTCTTAATCTTTTTCTTTATATATCAAAAGTTTATGAAATTTGTATTATTTTTTGCAGGTTTTGTAGTGGTTTTAATATAGTTTCTGAATATGTAAATTTTATTTTCGAAAACTAATTTGAGTGTTCACAGGGATCAATTTGTTTTATCGTTGGTCAAACATCGTAAACCGTAAAGTATCTTACGAATTGGGACAAAGGGAATAATAAATAATTAAATGAACATGCCTTTAATGATGATAACGTATATTTAGAGTTGTGTCTGTTATTTTGTGAACGTCTATTTGACATGGCCAAGTACATCACTGCGCATAATACACAGTGAAACAAATTTTAAGTATTCACTTAAAATTGATCGCAAATAATAATATGTGAGAATATTGGGTACAATATCTAAATATGAATCCTCTTATTCTTCACTTGCAATTTGACATGAATATAATTAAAGAAATTAATTCAAAATTAAATCTTTAATTCTTCAAGCGTTCGAATGTTCTTCAGATCTTCAAATCTTCATTCTTGAGATCTTCGAATCTTCGAATCTTTGTTCGTCGGATCTTCAAATCTTCTTGAATTAAGAATTTAACTTGAAGGGCCTCCAGTTTTCAAGTGGCTTAATCTTCAACAAAAGGGCCGTTTTATGGCTTGATCTTTTGTTTAAGGGCCTCCCGGGATATATGGCTCTTGATCTTCAATTGAATTTCAATTCAATCTTCATATGAGTATCTTCAAATCTTCAAAGATTTGTTCTTCATATCTTCGAATCTTCAAAGTCTTGTTCTTCAGATCTTCGAATCTTCAAGCTTCGTTATTCAAATCTTCAAACGTTCTTCAACTTTTGGATTTATTTTATTAAGAATAGACAAAATCACGAAGGATTATTCGTATATTCTTAATAAAATTCGTGGCTTGATCTATTCCTCTTCTTCGGAATCGTTCAGAGCCTTTCGAGAGTTCTTGAGAGCTTTTCTGCAGCGTTTCTTCGTCTGAAAATTCTCTCCCCTTTTCTCTCAACTGAGACCCCTATTTATAGGTGTGGAGGGGGTGAAATATGCTTTTAGGGTTTTGAAATTCGTTCATATGCTTAGGGCCCTGATTAAAATGGGCTTTGGGCTCTATTTGCTTGCATTTAGTAGCTAGAAAAATCAGCAGTTATTCGATGTATCTGGACAGCCTTTTTAATAAGGTTTGCAGCCATTTTCCATGCATATGGATGGATTTCTTAACCATATTCATTGCTCTCTTTATCAATTGGATCATTACTCTTATTCATTGGGCTACTATTTAATAATGGGCTCAAAATAAAGAAATTAATAGGACCGGTCCATTCTTTTAAAGATTTAATTTATAATTAAATTAATTTGATATTTAAATGACCCAAATTAATTTAATCATTACATTTTATCCGAATGGGTCCATATTAATATTTTATAAGACCCAACAACCACCAGAAGCCGCCCAGTAGAGTCGACGTTGGCTCAATACAATTCAAAAGAAGCCCAAAATGATTGAGAATAATCTGGTAGATCTTAAAGAAGTCCAATAACTTTTATATGTCCTCAAATGCCCCTCGAAACTTGATTGGATGTACCGATTTAATCATAAACAAGTGAGTCTCGAAAATTAATTTTATTGTCCCATCAAATTCAGCCTATTTTTGCACAAGAAATTTAAATCAATAGGCAATTTGTAGAACTCGTTGATTTAGAATTCAATTGCAACTCATACTCAAACTTTAGCCGGGACATATTAACTCATACGGAGCATTAACGAAATATATAGGAGATTCCAAATTCTCCTCCACTCTTAAGGACTTCTCTTCTATTAGGACTTTTACTCTGCCTGGTTTTGGGATCCAAACTCTTCAATCACGGTGTATAAATATCAACCCAACTGGTTCCCTTCTGCATCTCCATCTTTTAGTCCAGACAGTCCGTAAAAGCTCAACCGAAATTCTTGACGGCCTAAAGCTTGATCGACGTCCTTGAAGCCGCACAGTAATAGGTGAGTTTCTTTTCCATTCTTTCTCTATTCAGCTTTTTTTCTTTTACCGTATCGCAGGAGATATCATGAAGAGGCAAAGCTGCACAAGAAATTTACTGGTAGTCTTAACAAAACCAAATCCCGTGGCACCATTTGTTGGAGAGAAAAATTGAAGTTCAAAGCTCTGGGGGCTCATCTCCGTCGTTGCTGTGAGAAGCCAGAGGTTGAGTTCTAGATTGAATTGCTGCCGGCCAGAATTTGCTCGATGCAGCAGACAGAGCTTTCAAGAAGGATTGTTGCATATTTTCTCCTCCGTCCGTTCGCTCATGGAAGAAGAGGTATGGCGGAAGTTTGTGTGAGAATAATGAGAAAGGTTACTCTCTAAGGAGCCCTAGATATATTTATATTAAAGAGAGTTTTATGTAAAGTACAATACTAAGCCTCTAATAATTCTATTACACCCCCTCAAGTTGTGCGGGAAATACAACGCGCAAGTTGTCTTTTAAAAATGAAAACGTTGACTAGAGAGAGTTTTAGTAAAAATATCTGCCAGCTGTAGATGAGTAGGAACGTGCTTAACAATCAGATCTCCATGAGCAACCCGTTCGCGAACAAAATGATAATCAATCTGAATATGTTTACTGCGAGCATGCTGAACAGGATTTTCAGTCAAATAAGAAGCAGAGATATTATCACACAATAAATGTACCGGTTCCGTCATTGGCTATCCCAGTTCGAACAGTACCGATCGGATATGCAGTGTGTCTTGTACTGTGTAAGCAATGGCCCGATATTCTGCTTCTGTGGAGGACTTCGACACGGTAGGCTGCTTCTTAGTCTTCCAAGAAACCAAATTAGGACCTAAAAAGACAGCAAAACCTGTAGTGGACCGAGAAGCAAGTACCTGAAAATTCTTTTGATTGCAAAAAGATGAGTGGTACGAGGAGCATGCATGAACTAAGACACTAAGTGTACTGCATAAGTAATATCTGGTCGTGTCAAAGTTAAATATTGTAATGCAGCAACCATGTTGCGATACTCAGTAGAATCAGACAATAACTCACCATCAGAAAGAGACAGACTGGTACGGGAAGCTAACGGGGTGCGAACGGGTTTTACAGTATGAAGATGAAAACGGGCTAGAAGATCAGTGACATATTTATGTTGAGAAAGAAACATACCTTTAGCTGAACGAATAGCCTCGATACCCAGAAAATAATGAAGATTACCCAAGTCTTTCATAGCAAAATGATTAGAAATAATCGAAATAAATTGGGTAACAGATGACTCACAGTTGCCAGTAATAATAATATCTGATGGATAAGTGTACCCGGGGGGTATCTATCCGAGGGGTTACTGCGGGGAGTATCTAGAGAGAAGTCAGAGCAAAAGTAAGAGAGAGAATATATATTGCTGAGAATGTGTTGAGCGTATTGAGCATATTGAACATGGATTACAAATGGGGAAAGGGGTGCTATTTATAGTAGTAATAAATGCCAGATAGGGACACGTGTCATCATTCTGGTGGTCAAGGGGTCACCTCAACGGGGTGGCACTGACACTCGCATGTGACCGCATTAAATGCGGTGGTTGGATGTGACGTTTGTACTTGGTACGTTGATCCGACGCATGTGGGTGGGAGATTCTATCGAGGAGATGCCCTCGGCCGTAGATGATTGGCCGAAGGCTCTTCATACCGGGGGCCTCTAGGTGCCGAGGGCTACTGTTTCGCCGCTTTCTCCCAGACACTTTGAGTACTTTAAAGAATCTGTATTGTGAGTTTATTAGCCTTTGGCCAGGGGGGCGAAGGCACCCCAGTGTTCGTCGCGGGCTGTTTGGCACTAAGGGCGCTGTGATTTGGGCCTGCTGTGCTTCCTGGGCCTATTGGGCCTTCGTTATTGTAGTGGGAGTCTATGGGTCGGGGGTTCCTGGGCCATATACTCCATCAGGAGTCCCTCACTCCTTTTGCCGAAAGGTACTTGAGGGAAAAGGAGTAATTGTGGTTGTCCTCTGATGCTGCCTTGCTTGTAGCTTGTAAACCTGTGAGAGATTTGCGTTTGCGCACGATTCTGCCGGGGGCAGTCCTTTAATCCCCCACATTTTGGGATTTGAAGGATTATGTTGCTGTTTTGGGGAGATTTTTGACATTTGCATTTTTGTGATTTTTCCCGAAGGGGTCCTCCAGTCCCCCACTCCTTGAGGCATATGTAATGTGGTAAACAGGAGTAGAGTAGTGCCCGCTGTTATCATGTTGCCGAAGGCCGACGCTTTTCGTTTCATTTTGGGGGGATGCCTCGTTAAAAACCTCATTAGAAAAACCTCTGTGGGAAAAAATTCTAATGAGGGAAAAAGAGTGCACCGAATTCCCCCAACGATGAATCGAGAAGGTGAAACCTTGGTCTGAAATAGATGACAGTATTGACGTCGAGGGCTATCTTTGTCTGAGGGCGTGAGTGTTGATTTACCGAAGGCACTTCGTTAATATCCCAGGAGATGCCGAAGGGGAGTCCCTCAATCCCTGGGATTGAGGGCGTGATGAATGTAGTGGTAGTCGCTGTGTTGCCGGGAGCATTCCTCTGACGACGTCCGTAGTTGATAAGCATGAGTGAGCATTCCGGGGACTGCCAAGGGTAGTCCCCGACAATAAGGCTGGAGGCGTGAATCTTGTTGATGAATGTCAGTGATTGCCCCTGTGTGCGGAGTGGTTCCCTGGTATTCTAGCCGGAGGCTAACCATAGATGAGGGGGCTTGAAGGCGTGGCCCCCGGGGGGGGGGGGGGGGGGGGGGGTTCCTGGTTCCCAGCATGTTGAGGGCCGAGGGGTCCCGAGGGGTTTTCCCGTTGTTAAGCCATGGGCTCTTGATTGAGAATGACCGAAGGAACTTGTGATGTTGTATGAGGGGTACCGGCCGGGAGCACCTATGTGTTTTCAAAATATAGCCGTTGAGATATGACCGTTGGAAGTGGAGTCCACGTGGCGTGTGCTCGTTGGCTCCCGGCGGGCAGGCGTCACCGGTTGGTCGAACCGGCGGTGTGTAATGATGATTCCGGGAACTAGGGGCCCGGATTTCAGCCCAAGCCCGGACTCAGGAGCCTATAAACACCCTTCTCCCGATTATTTTCCCCTTGTGCGTTTCAATTGTTGAGCGAAGCTCTGGGAAATTTTTCCTAGAGAGAGAAACTTTCCCTCGGTCAAACTACCAGCTTTCAAGGTCAGTCTTCGATCCATTCTCTGTTGCCTTCAACATACTTTGCTTTCTTTTTTCGTGAGTTCAGTCTTTCGTAGCCTTAGGCTAAGTGATATAGTTCCTTAGGTAGCCCCCTTGTTGTAGAAACTCTCGTCCCCTAGCCTTCGAGGATGTCTTCGCAAAGCGACTCACAAAACATCTTGAGGGAGCCTTTGATGGAGGAGGAAAGCATTCGTGATGTGGATTCTTCAAGCGAGCAGCTCTCGGACGGAGACGACATGGAGGTTGCAGTCGAAATCCAGAGCCAGCTCATCGCCGAGGCCGAAGCGGAGGAGTTCGAGCAGGTCATAGAGGATGAGGAGATGGCCCTCGCTATGCAGACGGCTATTGACGAGGAGGAGAAGAAGAGCCGTCGGGTCACTATTGCTGTAATGCCTCCTCGCAATGCTGGTGAAGCCAGCACCTCTCGGCCCTTGAACCCGACACCTCTCCGGGTGGCCCCCGGGAAGAAGAAGGCGAAGGCTGCCGCTCCCAAGAAGAAGGGTAGCGTTGCTGACCAAGGGAAACCCGTCGATCTGCTCGAGGGTTATTGCTTCCTTAACACCGCCGCCCTCGAGATAAAGTCGAAGGCTGATGGGGCGGATTACTATGTCACCCAGCTGCACGTTGGGCCCTCGGCTACTGTGGTGCCACCGGGACCTGATGATGTTCTCTCCCGTGCTCCCGAGGGATGTATTGCTGTTCACATCCTGTCAGTGTCCATGGGCCTATGGTTTCCACTGCACCCGTTCCTTCGGGAATATCTCAGATACGTGGGCCTGGTCCCTTGCCAGCCAACGCCCAACAACCACTCGTATATTACTGGGTTTCTTCACCTGTGCAAGTCTCGGGGGGTGACGCCTAGCTTAGATCTGTTTTTCCAAAGCTTCAACCATTGTCAGGGAGGTCATGCAAACGTCGAGGGGTTCGCCAACTTGCAGAAGATCACTCAGTTCAGGCTGTTCACCGAGGCGCCCTCCTCAAACAAAGGCTGGAAGGAGCGGTGGTGCTATGTTAGGTTGAACGAGAACCCATTCCCGAGGGAGTTGCGGGACCGTTTTAGGCGCCATGAGAAGACAATAAGCGCCCTCGAGAAAGATGGCCTTGTACTCGCCAAGATCCCGGAAGGGCGGAATAAGAACATAACCATCAAAGAATGCACCCTGGAGAGTGATCTATACGCCCTCGGCTTCCGGTGGTATCGTTTCCTGGGGGAAACAGATGAGAAGTTCCCCATCCTAGACAGTGCCATCGGAGGAACATGAGGTAGCTTCCGAGGGCCTCGCATTTCATACTTAGGATTTTTTTGCATTTTTTTTATGTTATTCCGTTTCTCATGCTTGACCCCTCGACCTTACCTTATTGTGTTGCCTTGCAGGTATTCCAGTGTCGAAGATGAATGTCTAAGGCTTTATCGGGCTGAAGAAGAAATCGGCTAAAGAGCCGAAGAAGAAGGAAGCGGATCTCCAGAAGACCGCTGGTGATACCTTGCCGAGGGGTTCTGGTCCCTTGGGTTTGCCTGCTGATGAGGTCGCCGGTGCTGCCAAGAGGAAAGCAGCCGGCAAGGACGCCGCCCCCTTCGACAAGAAGGCGAAGAAGCAGGGGACCGGGACGAAGGCTCCCCCGGTCTTGATAGTCGAGGACCAGCCGACTTCTGAGCCCTCGGTTGTGGCGGCCTCGGCTTCGGTCGAAGCTCCATCGGGCCTCTCTCCCCTGGAGGTTGTCGACCAGAAGGCGTTCTTAAGGAGCATTGCTACGGGGATGGATAGGTCATCCCTCGGCACTTATGACGACGACTCACTCGAAGAAAAGATCCTCCGGTCTTCCTTGACTGTAAGTACTTCTTCCTCTGCCCCCTTCCCTTCTTCCTTAGATTATCTTTGCATGGTTGCTCTAACTGTTTTCATTGTTGGTTTGCAAGCTTGCATTGCCCTCGGGGAGCAGTCTCGGAGGTTAGAGGAGTGACGCCTTCATAAGGCCGAGCAGGATGAGAAGATGAAACAGCTCATCCATCAGAATTCCGACGTCGTAAGGCAGATGGCCCAGCTGGAGGAGAGCCTTCGGCAGATGGAGCTGCAAGTGAAGGCAGCTAACCGGGGCAAGGCGGAAGCCGAGAGGTCTGCTGCTGAGGCCATGAAGAAGGCTGCCGAGGAGGCCGAGGCCGCCAAGGCAGAGGCTGTCTCCAAGGCGCGGGAGGATGCCCTCTGTGAGTTTCTGGAGGTGGGGTGGAAGGCCGAGGGACGCAAGCAGTGGCTGTCCTCGGTTGTGGAGGCATCTGTTGAAGAATGGTGTGAGGGCCCCGGTGTGGAATGGTTGGCCTGAAAGGGAAAAGAATATTACAAAGGGGGCGAGTTCTTTACTCAGGCCCTCATCTACCGGAGGATGGCCCGACACTTGAAGATGGAGCCCAAAGATTTTGATCCGGCAGCATACGGCCTTCCTCCTCTGCAGCCTGATGTTCGCGTGCCCCTTCCCCCAGACGTTGAGAGGCCAGATTTGGAGGATTCAGAACTCATGAGGGACGCCGAGGGCGAAGAGGAGGCCAGAGGGGAAGTAACATTGAAGCATGCGGTAGAGGATGCCTCCGAAACCATCAATGTTTAGCTTGTACTTAGAAATCTTTTGTAACAAACATTTGTATGCTTCCGGCTTCGGCCATGACTGTAAACAATTTTTTATTCCCTGCTGATGGATGAATGCCTGCCTTCGGGCCTTTTATATATAATTTGCTTTTTTCTTTGAATGTATGCTTTCGTCTTTTCTTTGTGAAATGAATGCCTTCGTACTCTGATGTTTGAGTTGTCAGTTGTTTAGGACATAGAAAAATTTTCTAAGTGTTGTTTCACTACTGAACCCTCGGTTGTGTGCCCCCTGGCTGCATGGATATTTGACCGAGGGTCAAATATTTAGGACTTAGAAAATTTCTCCAAGAGTAGTCTCACTACTGAGCCTTCGGTTTATGTGACCCTCTGGCTGCATGGAGATTTGACCGAGGGTCAAATATTTAGGACTTAGAAATTTTTTCTAAGTGTAGTTCTTCCACCAAGCCTTCGGTTGTGTGGCCCCTCTGGCTGCATGGAGATTTGACCGAGGGCCAAATATTTAGGACTTAGAAAATTTTCCTAAGTGTAGTTCTTCCACCAAGCCTTCGGTTGTGTGGCCCCTCTGGCTGCATGGAGATTTGACCGAGGGTCAAATATTTAGGACTTTGGCCGATTTTTCTAAGTGTAGTTCTTCCACCAAGCCTTCGGTTGTGTGGCCCCTCTAGCTGCATGGAGATTTGACCGAGGGCCAAATATTTAGGACTTAAATTTTTTTCCTATAATTCATGATTTGCCCCTCGGTGAATAGACCCTTTGATTTATAGTATCTTGAGTAAGAAATCCCTTGGTGAAGGATGGTGGTCCCGGAGGCACCCAAATTTGTAGACTTAGAATACTTTCCCTTGGCTTGTAAGACTGGCCTCCGGTAATGTGTAGCAGGTGCATTTGCTTCGGTAATGTGAGCCTTCGGTGTTGGTGATGCCGGAGGCAGCCAGAAAGTGGGTTTTGATATTCCTTGATTGTATTCGTCTAATAGTAGCCTTCGGGGATTAGTAGTTTATAGGTACCGGGGGTGTTCCCATGGGTAGCCCTCGGTATGATCTGTATTGTCTTGTGATGCCGAAAGGCTTCCTGTTGTGATTTTTTGAAGTTGTGTACTCATTGATTTCTCGCTGAGTCTACTCCCCTTCACCCCATTTTTTTTGGTAATGAAGGGAAGGCTTCAAGAAACTTGGTTTCTTGGTAAGGCTTGGCCTATCGGGAGGCAACAACATACACCATTAGCTCCCCCCTCGGGTTAACTTTCCAAGTTCCGAGGGGATCGAGGGTCGTTTCCTGGGCATGAGACATAGTCTATAGCTTGCCTCCCCTTGGGGGATGGCACGGAAAGCGCCTCAGTTTTGAAAGTCGTTCCCTGGGCACGAGACATAGTCCGTGGCCTGCCATACCCTTGGGGTAATGGCGCGGGAAGCGTTTCGTTTTTGAAAGTCGAATCCTGGGCATATTAGTTCCCTGCCATACCCTTGGGGTAGTGGCGCGGAAAGCATTTCGTTTTGAAAGTCGAATCCTAGGCATATTAGTTGTCTGCCACACCTTTGGGGTAATGGTGCGGAAAGCGTTTCAAGGAAGGGTTTTGATTTGCACACTAGTTGCAAATGGTCGGAGGCACTACGTGCTGCCGGCACCGATAGGTTGCGCCTTCGGTATGAATGCGTCCTCGAGGGGTACAGCTTCAGAAACAACACTTAGTGTTGGTTTCAGCCCCAGGTACTTGGTACCGAGGGGTCTTCAAAAGGAAACATTTGGTGTTTTCCGCTGTCTGGAGTTGATAGGAGTACATACCCTCGACACTTGGTACCGAGGGGTCTTCTTAAAAACACTTGGTGTTTCCTTCATTTGTCGTAGGTGATTGGAGTGTCAACCCTCGGCACTTGGTGCCGAGGGGTCTTGGAGTAAGGCCTTGGGCCAGGTGTCTGCATGAGGGCTTGACCGCTCATATGTGTCTTGTTTCTTGTTCTTGGTGTCTTTAATATGTATTCAAATTTGAAGGCCTTGGGCCGTAGAATAATACATTCATTAGTTATGAGGGCTTGGACGCCCTAACATTACTGATAAAATTTTTCTAAATGGTGTACATTCCAATGTCGGGGGACCTCGGTCCCGTTGGGGCGTTTGAGCTTGTAAGTTCCTGGTTTGATGACGGCTGCAACGATGTATGGGCCCTCAAATTTGGGAGCCATTTTGCCGCCCTCGGTTGGCTGGCTTGCCTCCCTTCGTCGTAGGACATAATCCCCCACTTGGAATTCTCGAGAGCGGACTTTGGCGTCGATGTAGCTTTTGATTTGCTTTCGGTAGTTTTACGCTCGTATGAAGGCTTGCTCTCGGCATTCTGAGATGAGGTGAAGGTCGAGGGCCATGTTGGCGTCGTTGACTTCGCGATCATATTGGGCTACCCTTCGGGTAGGAAGGGTCACTTCAGTGGGAGCTTTAGCTTCAAATCCATAGCACAGGGAGAAGGGTGTTTCACCTGTTGCCCACCGAGGGGTGGTGCGGTAAGCCCATAGGATATTGTGGAGTTCTTCTACCCAGCCTCCCCCTTCATCCTCCAGCTTCTTTTTTAGGCCCTCAAGTAATGTCCGGTTGGCATTCTCCACTTGACCGTTGCCTTGGGGGTAAGCAACGGATGAGAAGGTGTTCTTGATGCCCCATGCCTCTAGGAGGGCACAGAAGGGGCTGCCTGAAATTGGGTCCCATTGTCGGAGATGATTTGTTGGGGGACACCAAACCTTGTGAGAATGTTCTTTAGGACAAAGTGGCAGCACCTGGCCTCAGTAATGCTGGCGAGGGGCTCAACCTCCACCCATTTGGTGAAGTAGTCAATGACAACGATGATGTACCTATTATTAGAGATACCCCTCGGCAGAGGGCCCACAAGGTCTATGCCCCATCTAGCGAAGGGTATAGATGTGCTGATGGGGGCATAGTTGACCGCTGGCCTGCCGGGGGCTTTCTGGAAGTGTTGACATGCGGTACACCTTCGGGCGAGATACGCACAATCTCGGGCCATCGTAGGCCATAAGTAGCCCTGAATTATGAGCCTTCAGGACATGGAGAAAGGTCCCTGATGAGACGAACAAGTGCCACCGTGCACTTCCTCCATTGCCAATTCGGCTTCATCTTGATGAAGGCACCGGAGCAGCGTACCATTGTAAGATCGTTTGTAGAGCCTTCCGTCCTCGATGGTGTAGCTGGGGGCCCTCAGCTTCGCTAGCTTGGTGCGGAACTCATCCTCCGACAGTTGCCCGGTTGTGATGAAGGCGATGATGTGTGAGATCCAGTCCTCTTGCCTTTGCTGAATTTGCATGATGGGGCTGACGTGTATGCTTGAGAGGCTGAGCTCTTCTATCCTTACAATTTTGGAGAGGTGCTCGGGAGATTCATCCGAGAGTTTTGATAAAATATCGGCCTCAGAATTTTGAGCCCTCAGTATTTGGGTGAGAGAGTGTGCCACAAATACCTTGAGCAATTCTTTAGCCGCCTCCTTGTATTGTTTCATCCTCCCTTCCTTGGCCTCATACTCCCAGGAGATTTGGCCCACGACAAGCTTGGAGTCACACTTGACGTGGATCGTTCTGGCCTTCATATTTGCTGCCAGCCGAAGGCAAGAGAGGAGGGCCTCGTATTCTGCTTCGTTGTTAAAGACTTTGAAGGTGAAGCGGATGGCATAGTAGGCCCGGAAGCCTTCGGGAGTAATAAGAACTACTCCTCCTCCGCATGCTTTGGTGGTTGAGGAGCCATCGGTATAAAGGGTCCACCACTCGTCCGAAGGTGCCGAGGGCTCCTCATTCACCGCTGATCTGGCCGTGCACTCCGTCACAAAGTCTGCCAGGGCTTGGCCCTTTATGGAAGGCCTCGGACGGATGTTGATGTTGTATTGGCTGAGGAAGATAGCCCATTTTACCATTCGGGAGGAGCTGGTGGGACTCCTCATCAAGGCGCCGAGGGGTTGGTGAGTGAGGACCTGAACCGGATGGGCCTGAAAGTAGTGGCCAAGCTTCTTCACAGTCCAAACAATAGCTAGCACCATTTTTTCCAAAGGGGAATACCGGAGTTCCGCTTCCCTGAGGGTCTTGCTAACATAGAAGATGGCATGTTGGACGCCATCTTCTTCCCGGATGAGTACTGAGCTGATGGCTGCCGGGCTAACACCAAGGTAAAGGTACAAGGTTTCCCCTACCTTGGGTTTGGAGAGCACAGGGGGTGAAGATAAATACTGTTTTAGTTCGTTGAAGGCCTCCTGGCATTCTGAAGTCCATTGGAAGCCGACGGTCTTCCTCATGATCTGGAAGAAGGGTAAAGGCTTCTCCGCCGATTTGGATAGGAAGCGGTTGAGGGCTGCCAGGATAGGAAGCGATTGATGATGGCCTGGATTTTCTCGGGGTTGGCCTCGATATCCCTTCGGCTCACCATGTAGCCTAAGAATTTGCCTCCTTGTACGCCGAAGGTGCATTTCTTCGGGTTTAGCCGAAGGTTGAACTTTTGCATGATGGCGAAGATCTCCCAGAGGTCGTCAGCATGGCTTGACGACCGTTTGCTTTTGACAATCATGTCATCAACATAGGCCTCCATGGTGCGCCCTAGGACGGCCTGAAAGACTGTGGCCACCATCAGGGTGTAAGTGGCGCCTGAGTTTTTTAGGCCGAAGGCTATCACAAGGTAGCAGAATATGCCCTCGGGAGTCATGAAGGCTGTTTTTTCGGTGTCTTCCTCGTGCATGAAAATTTGGTGATACCCTCAGAAGGCATAGAGGAAGGACATGATCTCGCACCTCGCGGTCTCATCCACCAGTTGATCAATATTTAGCAAGGGGAAGGGGGTCCATGGGGCACGCCCTGTTTAGATCAGTGTAGTCTGCGCACATGCGGAAGGTGGGCGGCTTTTGTGCGAGGACTACGTTAGCCAGCCATGAGGGGTATTTTACCTCCTTGATGTGCTTGATGGAGAGGAGCATGGTGACCTCCTTCTTCACAAAATCCCTTCTCTCGACCGAGAGGGGTCTTCTTCTCTGTTGTATAGGTTTTACCGAAGGGTCCACCGAGAGGCGGTGGGTGATGACCCTTCGGCTGATTCCGGGCATATCCTCCGGCCCCCATGCAAAAACAATGGAGTAGGCGTGGAGGGCTTCAGTTATGCC